CTTGTGCTGTTTCAATAGAATTTCGATTTGGCTTATCTTGTTGACGAAGGGCTCATAAATATTCCTTGAGTTCCATAAAACTCTCAAAGATAGTTCGTCGTCATTCTGTATGTGTATATTAAAGAGATTGTCCTGACTAACTGATTAGTAAGACGCACAGACCAAGTCGTAAGAGTTACGAAGCTGAAAGTCTTAAGTTCGGTAAAAGTGCAGGTCTGACCTGCAGACAGTGCGATAATGATGGTCAACCAATGTATATCATGTATGTGTGCTAAATCAAAGTGGGAGATCAGGGGCTCCAAGCCCAAAATCGGTTTCGTAGCATGTTGGCCCCAAACAGTGTATATATTCTTGGTCATCATCAGCAGTCGAGTCAGACTAGATATAGCCATCTGTCTGTCCTTCTGACCGTGTTATGAACGACCGATATCAGAACCCCTTAGAACTCAAAGTGCTCGTGCACGAGTTTGTTTCTGTAATTCTGTTTCGAACCTGTTTCTGGTAGATAACTGGCTCCGTGCCCAACCAATAGATTCTTATCGATATCAAAATCACAGTAACATACACAAATGGATTATATTTACTTTTTTGGATACCCACCCCCAGTCACATAAAGTCATATACATAACCACACGTTATTTTAGGCCATGATTTAATTCCTCTGCATACGAAAACCACTCTGTTTCACGAATTTGTCACAAATTTCTGCGTTCAAATCCCAACCACAACTCATTGCCAGTATCTAACGCTGCCACCAGGCGCACCAATGCCCAGTTCACCCACCACGTTGGCAGCGGCGAGTTCAGACAGAACCACAGATGGCCCAATGAGAACGGCAATGACATCGCTCTGATCCACACTCCTCATGTCGATTTCTGGCACATGGTCAATAAGGTGGAGCTGCCCAGCTTCAACGACCGCTACAACATGTACGATAACGCCTGGGCTGTTGCCTGCGGCTGGGGCATTACCTCCGATGGCGGTTCTCAACCCGACTGGTTACAGTGCGTCGACCTGCAGATCATCAGCAATAGCAAGTGCTCTGAGACCTATGGCCACCAGCCGGATGGTATTCTGTGCGTTGCCACACCCGGCGGCAAGTCCACCTGCAGCGGTGACTCTGGTGGTCCATTGGTCCTCCATAACGGCGGCAGATTGGCTGGTGTTACGTCGTGGGTTGCTGGCAATGGTTGCACAGCTGGTCTTCCAGCTGGCTTCACTCGTGTCACCCATCAGTTGGAATGGATTCGCGACAACTCTGGCGTTGCTTACTATTAAGGTGTTCTATGAACTGCATTCAAAATAAACCAATTGATCATCTCGCATTTAAAGGAAACATTTATTTGGATGGGATCACTCCTATCATATTATCATAAAATGCGCATAAATTCGAAAGACTTTGCATAAATCGTGACTCGTTATCGGCTTGTAAAATTCATTTTTTATGATCGGATTATATATTTAATTTACGAACCACTCAAATTAAGATAATGGCGAATAGAGTTTGTGCCTGATTTTCGTATAAAAGCAACAGTAGGGTCCACCGAGGCTCAAGTTGTACCTGCAATATGAAGGTGTTCATTACAATTTTGGCTTTGGCTGTTGCCTCCGCCACTGGAGCTGCGGTGCCTGCCGCCACGCAGAAGGCTGTCCATATGAAGGACATGTCCAGCCGTATCACCAATGGCTACCCAGCCTATGAAGGCAAGGCCCCCTATACCGTTGGCTTGGGCTTCAGCGGTGGCTGGTGGTGCGGTGGTTCCATCATTGGAAACACCTGGGTCCTGACTGCCGAGCACTGCACGGGCTCTGACGTCACCGTCTACTTCGGTGCCACCTGGCGCACCAACGCCCAGTTTACTCACTGGGTCAGCCGTAATGACATCATCAACCACCACAACGCTGATATCGCTCTGATCCGTATTCCCCATGTGGACTTCTGGCACATGGTTAACAAGGTGGAGCTGCCCAGCTACAACGATCGCTACAACGACTTCAATGAACGCTGGGCTGTTGCTTGCGGCTGGGGCGGTACCTACGATGGCAGCCCACTGCCCGACTGGCTGCAGTGCGTCGACCTGCAGATCATGCACAACTCCGAATGTCAGAGGACCTATGGCTCTTCCGTTGTAGGAGACAACATCCTCTGTGTAAGAACTCCCGACGGCAAGTCCACCTGCGGTGGTGACTCCGGTGGTCCATTGGTTACACACGACGGCAACAAATTGGTGGGCGTTACCAACTTTGGCACTTCCTCGTGCACATCTGGTGCTCCAGCTGGCTTCCAGCGTGTCACCTACCACTTGGACTGGATTCGCGACCACACTGGCATCGCTTACTAATAGATTTAAAATTAAACATCAAATAAAATTGATTTGAATGCATTTGATAATCGTGTCTTATGTAAATTTTGTGTATTGAGTTCCAAAGTCAAGTTTTAAGAAGCCAGAACAGATTTTAAAATGCATGAGCACAAAGGCTTATGGTTCTTGGGTTAGTGTTTTTAATCCTTCATTTTTATTCTATGAAATATATTTTTATTTCAAAAATCTCCTTTATACCCTTGGAAAGGGGATTATAAGTTTGTCGTAAAATGTGTAACGCCTAGAAGAAGACATCTCGGCCCCATAAAGTATTTATATTCTTAATCAGTATAAACAGCCGAGTCGATATAGTCATGTCCGTCAGTCCGTCTGTCTGTTTCTATGCGAACTAATCTCTCAGTTTTAAAGCTATTTTTATGAAACTTTGCAGAAGTCCTTCTTTCTGTTGCACGCAGCACATATGTCAAAACCAACTGGATCGGAACACTATATCACATAGCTGGCATAGGAACGATTGGTCGAAATTAAGTTGTTGTGTGATAAAAATTTTTGTTTATTTAGATATTTTGACCAAACTTGGAATTTATTAGTTTTTCGATGCTTCTTATATATATTCAAAACCCTATTAAGATCGGACCACTATAACATATAGCTGCCATAGGAATGATCGGTGGAAAATTAAGTTGTTTTATGTAAAACGTTTTTGTCATTAAAAAAATAGTTTGATTAAGCACGTCACTTAAAGTCATCACTATACTCCCTTCAATTTTGAAAAATCTTTTTTAGATCGGACTACATATCACATATCTGTCATAGGAACGATCGGTCGCAAACTTGGTGTTTGATTAAAGACCTTTTTTGTTTTTCAAGATATCTTGACCAAACTCGGCATTAACTATTTTCCCTGTGCTTCATAGATACGGTCAAAGCACTATGAGCATTATGTAAAGGTTGGGTCTGCAACCTTTTTTTCTCGTTTCCTAGTATGTTGTGTCTACATCTTCTGATTGACTCACTGGCTAACTGAGTAACTGACTCATTGAGTGGTTGTCAACGAGCCTTAGCAGGAAGCTGGATCTATTTACGTTGCGTTATGCTCTCTGACGTAAAATAGGCGTCAAACAAGACAAAAGAGTATAATGTATTCATTTTTTATATGTATGCTTTATTTAGGTCATATCGGAAGCAGTAGCTTATTAGTAAGAAATGCCAGTGTGGTCACGAATCCAGTCCAAGTGGTAGGTGACACGCTGGAAGCCAGATGGGTGTCCAGATTGGCAACCGGCAGAAGAAACCCAGTTGGTAACACCGACCAGTTTGTTGCCGTCGTGTGTAACCAATGGACCACCGGAGTCACCACCGCAGGTGGACTTGCCGTCGGGAGTTCTCACACAGAGGATGTTGTCACCAACAGTTGCAGAGCCGTAAGTCTGCTGGCACTCGGAGTTGTGCATGATCTGCAGGTCGACGCACTGAAGATAGTCGGGCAGTGGGCTGCCATCATAGGTACCGCCCCAGCCGCAGGCAACGGCCCAGTTATTGTTGTAGTCGTTGTAGCGATCGTTGTAGCTGGGCAGCTCCACCTTGTTAACCATGTGCCAGAAGTCCACATGAGGAATGCGGATCAGAGCGATGTCAGCGTTGTGGTGGTTGATGATGTCATTGCCGCTGACCCAGTGGGTGAACTGGGCGTTGGTGCGCCAGGTGGCTCCGAAGTAGACGGTGACGTCAGAGCCCGTGCAGTGCTCGGCAGTCAGGACCCAGGTGTTTCCAATGATAGAACCACCGCACCACCAGCCACCGCTGAAGCCCAGGCCAACGGTATAGGGGGCCTTGCCCTCAGGTGCTGGGTAACCATTGGTGATACGGCCCTCGATCTTGTTGACCTTGGGAATGTCCTTAGGGTGGACGACCGACTCGAATGCCGAGGCGGAGGCAACAGCCAAAGCGAGAATTGTTAGAAACACCTTCATGTTGTAGGTACTACTTGTAGTTCCATAGGCTCCAAACCGCTCTTTTATACTTGTGCTGTTTCAATAGAATTTCGATTTGGCTTATCTTGTTGACGAAGGGCTCATAAATATTCCTTGAGTTCCATAAAACTCTCAAAGATAGTTCGTCGTCATTCTGTATGTGTATATTAAAGAGATTGTCCTGACTAACTGATTAGTAAGACGCACAGACCAAGTCGTAAGAGTTACGAAGCTGAAAGTCTTAAGTTCGGTAAAAGTGCAGGTCTGACCTGCAGACAGTACGATAAAGATGGTCAACCAATGTATATCATGTATGTGTGCCAAATCAAAGTGGGAGATCGGGGGCTCCAAGCCCAAAATCGGTTTCGTAGCATGTTGGCCCCAAACAGTGTATATATTCTTGGTCATCATCAGCAGTCGAGTCAGACTAGATATAGCCATCTGTCTGTCCTTCTGACCGTGTTATGAACGATCGATATCAGAACCCCTTAGAACTCAAAGTGCTCGTGCACGAGTTTGTTTCTGTAATTCTGTTTCGAGCCTGTTTCTGGTAGATAACTGGCTCCGTGCCCAACCAATAGATTCTTATCGATATCAAAATCACAGTAACATACACAAATGGATTATATTTACTTTTTTGGATACCGACCCCCAGTCACATAAAATCATATACATAACCACACGTTATTTTAGGCCATGATTTAATTCCTCTGCATTCGAAAACCACTCTGTTTCACGAATTTGTCACAAATTTCTGCGTTCAAATCCCAACCACAACTCATTGCCAGTATCTAACGCTGCCACCTGGCGCACCAACGCCCAGTTCACCCACCATGTTGGCAGCGGCGAGTTCAGACAGAACCACAGATGGCCCAATGAGAACGGCAATGACATCGCTCTGATCCACACTCCTCATGTCGATTTCTGGCACATGGTCAATAAGGTGGAGCTGCCCAGCTTCAACGACCGCTACAATATGTACGATAACGCCTGGGCTGTTGCCTGCGGCTGGGGCATTACCTCCGATGGCGGTTCTCAACCCGACTGGTTACAGTGCGTCGACCTGCAGATCATCAGCAATAGCAAGTGCTCTGAGACCTATGGCCACCAGCCCGATGGTATTCTGTGCGTTGCCACACCCGGCGGCAAGTCCACCAGCAGCGGTGACTCTGGTGGTCCATTGGTCCTCCATAACGGCGGCAGATTGGCTGGTGTTACGTCGTGGGTTGCTGGCAATGGTTGCACAGCTGGTCTTCCAGCTGGCTTCACTCGTGTCACCCATCAGTTGGAATGGATTCGCGACAACTCTGGCGTTGCTTACTATTAAGGTGTTCTATGAACTGCATTCAAAATAAACCAATTGATCATCTCGCATTTAAAGGAAACATTTATTTGGATGGGATCACTCCTATCATATTATCATAAAATGCGCATAAATTCGAAAGACTTTGCATAAATCGTGACTCGCTATCGGCTTGTAAAACTCATTTTTTATGATCGGATTATATATTTAATTTACGAACCACTCAAATTAAGATAATGGCGAATAGAGTTTGTGCTTGATTTTCGTATAAAAGCAACAGTAGGGTCCACCGAGGCCCAAGTTGTACCTGCAATATGAAGGTGTTCATTACAATTTTGGCTTTGGCTGTTGCCTCCGCCACTGGAGCTGCGGTGCCTGCCGCCACGCAGAAGGCTGTCCATATGAAGGACATGTCCAGCCGTATCACCAATGGCTACCCAGCCTATGAAGGCAAGGCCCCCTATACCGTTGGCTTGGGCTTCAGCGGTGGCTGGTGGTGCGGTGGTTCCATCATTGGAAACACCTGGGTCCTGACTGCCGAGCACTGCACGGGCTCTGACGTCACCGTCTACTTCGGTGCCACCTGGCGCACCAACGCCCAGTTTACTCACTGGGTCAGCCGTAATGACATCATCAACCACCACAACGCTGATATCGCTCTGATCCGTATTCCCCATGTGGACTTCTGGCACATGGTTAACAAGGTGGAGCTGCCCAGCTACAACGATCGCTACAACGACTTCAATGAACGCTGGGCTGTTGCTTGCGGCTGGGGCGGTACCTACGATGGCAGCCCACTGCCCGACTGGCTGCAGTGCGTCGACCTGCAGATCATGCACAACTCCGAATGTCAGAGGACCTATGGCTCTTCCGTTGTAGGAGACAACATCCTCTGTGTAAGAACTCCCGACGGCAAGTCCACCTGCGGTGGTGACTCCGGTGGTCCATTGGTTACACACGACGGCAACAAATTGGTGGGCGTTACCAACTTTGGCACTTCCTCGTGCACATCTGGTGCTCCAGCTGGCTTCCAGCGTGTCACCTACCACTTGGACTGGATTCGCGACCACACTGGCATCGCTTACTAATAGATTTAAAATTAAACATCAAATAAAATTGATTTGAATGCATTTGATAATCGTGTCTTATGTAAATTTTGTGTATTGAGTTCCAAAGTCAAGTTTTAAGAAGCCAGAACAGATTTTAAAATGCATGAGCACAAAGGCTTATGGTTCTTGGGTTAGTGTTTTTAATCCTTCATTTTTATTCTATGAAATATATTTTTATTTCAAAAATCTCCTTTATACCCTTGGAAAGGGGATTATAAGTTTGTCGTAAAATGTGTAACGCCTAGAAGAAGACATCTCGGCCCCATAAAGTATTTATATTCTTAATCAGTATAAACAGCCGAGTCGATATAGTCATGTCCGTCAGTCCGTCTGTCTGTTTCTATGCGAACTAATCTCTCAGTTTTAAAGCTATTTTTATGAAACTTTGCAGAAGTCCTTCTTTCTGTTGCACGCAGCACATATGTCAAAACCAACTGGATCGGAACACTATATCACATAGCTGGCATAGGAACGATTGGTCGAAATTAAGTTGTTGTGTGATAAAAATTTTTGTTTATTTAGATATTTTGACCAAACTTGGAATTTATTAGTTTTTCGATGCTTCTTATATATATTCAAAACCCTATTAAGATCGGACCACTATAACATATAGCTGCCATAGGAATGATCGGTGGAAAATTAAGTTGTTTTATGTAAAACGTTTTTGTCATTAAAAAAATAGTTTGATTAAGCACGTCACTTAAAGTCATCACTATACTCCCTTCAATTTTGAAAAATCTTTTTTAGATCGGACTACATATCACATATCTGTCATAGGAACGATCGGTCGCAAACTTGGTGTTTGATTAAAGACCTTTTTTGTTTTTCAAGATATCTTGACCAAACTCGGCATTAACTATTTTCCCTGTGCTTCATAGATACGGTCAAAGCACTATGAGCATTATGTAAAGGTTGGGTCTGCAACCTTTTTTTCTCGTTTCCTAGTATGTTGTGTCTACATCTTCTGATTGACTCACTGGCTAACTGAGTAACTGACTCATTGAGTGGTTGTCAACGAGCCTTAGCAGGAAGCTGGATCTATTTACGTTGCGTTATGCTCTCTGACGTAAAATAGGCGTCAAACAAGACAAAAGAGTATAATGTATTCATTTTTTATATGTATGCTTTATTTAGGTCATATCGGAAGCAGTAGCTTATTAGTAAGAAATGCCAGTGTGGTCACGAATCCAGTCCAAGTGGTAGGTGACACGCTGGAAGCCAGATGGGTGTCCAGATTGGCAACCGGCAGAAGAAACCCAGTTGGTAACACCGACCAGTTTGTTGCCGTCGTGTGTAACCAATGGACCACCGGAGTCACCACCGCAGGTGGACTTGCCGTCGGGAGTTCTCACACAGAGGATGTTGTCACCAACAGTTGCAGAGCCGTAAGTCTGCTGGCACTCGGAGTTGTGCATGATCTGCAGGTCGACGCACTGAAGATAGTCGGGCAGTGGGCTGCCATCATAGGTACCGCCCCAGCCGCAGGCAACGGCCCAGTTATTGTTGTAGTCGTTGTAGCGATCGTTGTAGCTGGGCAGCTCCACCTTGTTAACCATGTGCCAGAAGTCCACATGAGGAATGCGGATCAGAGCGATGTCAGCGTTGTGGTGGTTGATGATGTCATTGCCGCTGACCCAGTGGGTGAACTGGGCGTTGGTGCGCCAGGTGGCTCCGAAGTAGACGGTGACGTCAGATCCCGTGCAGTGCTCGGCAGTCAGGACCCAGGTGTTTCCAATGATAGAACCACCGCACCACCAGCCACCGCTGAAGCCCAGGCCAACGGTATAGGGGGCCTTGCCCTCAGGTGCTGGGTAACCATTGGTGATACGGCCCTCGATCTTGTTGACCTTGGGAATGTCCTTAGGGTGGACGACCGACTCGAATGCCGAGGCGGAGGCAACAGCCAAAGCGAGAATTGTTAGAAACACCTTCATGTTGTAGGTACTACTTGTAGTTCCATTGGCTCCGCATCGATCTTTTATACTCGTGGAGTCTCTATAGAACTGACTTGGTCGAATCACTCATAAATATTCCTTTAGCTCCACAAAATGCCTAGAGATAAGTTTTATTGAGGTAAAGATTAAAATACGCCGTTTTATATATTTTAATATACAATTCTATAAAAAGTTATCCTTATCAGATTTCTAGATTTTTGCTTCTTTTACTCAAGTCCATGTTCATAAAAGGTTTCATTCACAATAAATATTTCACTGGGACAGCGATATGATTGAATCTAAATATAAATGCTTGTTTACGCTTTTTGCTTAATTCATAAACTCGACGTGGGGTTATTATTGTTCAGATGGCGTGTTTGTGCTGATCTACTATTGAAAACGTCTGACGGGTCATGGTGTTTTCTCTGGGCAGTCAGTACAAAATGGCCTTTTGATCGTTTCAGGCAGACATGTTTTTCTGCTCGATATTCATTCCATTGATATATACATAAATTTTACTTATTCATTCCAATCATACTTTATAGTTTTTTCATTTATGCATTTTGCCTTTTTATACTATTTATTATTACAGTTATCCAAACCATATCAGTTGAATCGCATTTATTCCCTTCATATAATTATTATACTTCTTTATCCCAAATTATTACACTCCATCTACTTTTAAGGCACTTTTTTTAATTCCAATTTACATTACTATTCAATCATTCCTGCAATGGAATCGCATCTGGTAATTCGTTTTCTTTATCCAAGCGGATTTATATTAACCTTACAAATTGTGCCGCATAATCATTGCCATAATAATTCCAATTGAAGAACTTAATCATTAAATCTGAAGAGCTTAGGCTTGGTATTTCGTTATCTTCGGTGCATCTATATAAAGAACTGTCAGAGAATATTTATGAGGCAAATCAATTTACAAATACTTTAATACTTGAAAATGTGAGGGTGAATAACGCTCTGGCTTATAAAAGCTCGGTGAAAATTAATTGCCGAACCAAGTAGTGTTTGAGACATGAAACTGTTTGTAGCTTGTTTGGCTTTGGCCATTGCTGCCGCCACGGCAGCACCCACCGACTCTGTAGTGCATCCCAAGGATCTGCCCAAACCCAACAAGATCGAGGGTCGTATTACCAACGGAAATCCAGCATATGAGGGCCAAGCACCGTACACTGTTGGCTTGAGCATTAACATTCCAGGTGGTACCACCTGGTGCGGTGGCTCCATCATTGGACACACCTGGGTCCTGACTGCCGAGCACTGCACCAGCAATGCTGAGGCCGTTGGCGTTCACTTCGGTGCCACATGGCGCACCAACTCCATATTCACTCACTGGGTTGGCCGCAACGATATCATCAATCACCATGCCGCCGATATTGCTTTGATCCGTATTCCTCATGTGGACTTCTGGGATTTGGTCAACAAAGTGGAGCTGCCCAGCTATAACGAGCGCTACAACGATTTCAATGGATGGTGGTCCTTTGCCTGCGGCTGGGGACGTACTTATGATAACAGCGGCTTGCCCGACTGGATGCAGTGCGTCGATCTGCAGGTGATGCCCAACCACGAGTGCCAGCAGACTTATGGCTCTAGCGTTGTGGGGGACAACATTGTTTGCGTGCGTACTCCTGAAGGCAAATCGACATGCAGTGGAGATTCTGGCGGTCCATTGGTTATTCACGAAGGCAAGAAACTTATTGGTGTCACCAACTGGGTTTCTTCTGCCGGTTGCCAATCTGGGCATCCATCTGGCTTCCAGCGTGTCACCTACCACTTGGACTGGATTCGCGACATTACGGGCATTGCCTACTACTAAGCGATCAGCTCTGAATTTAATTGAAAATATAAAGAATTATGAAAAAGCTATTTCTATTTGTTTTTAGCAGTATTACTTTATTATTATTCTCTTTTTTAGCGAAAAGTTTTTATACCTTTTTAGGATTGGTGTATGCTTTTCTAAATTATACGTGTTAAGGGGTATTCAACAAAGTTTTTGAACTGGAATATTGAGCATAGCAATACAACATTAAACAATTCTACCAACACCAAATGCAAGTCTAGTTTTATTCGTTTGCTTAGTATAATAAAAATAAATTACAAAGAGATGGTTCCCTCTCCCTGGATCGAACTCGAAAATAAATCATCTTATAAATCACAACCATGCCAAGAATTGACTCTTGAAGACACATATAAATTTACATAAATGCATGCATGCATACATACATGCATACGTACATATATACGCATATGCATGTGTTCCTGCAGATAAACATGCCTATATACATGCATACATGCATACATACATGCATTCTCGCATGCATACATGCATGCATGCATTCATACATATGTATATATGTACATTCATATATATGCCCAAAAAAAAGTGACGTAAATCACACGCAACTTGATAATATCACAGTTAGCAAGTCATGCACGCTTGTATGACTTAAGTGAATTCATGAGAAGCGCATAGTAAAGCGCTACCCACATTTAGATTTTTTAACGTGCAACGTAATCAACAGCAGTAAAGTCAACTTGGTCGGCGCTTAACATATAGAGGTACAAGCATATATATTTATGCACATTCAGAAAGAGTTAGAACAATTTTGAATTATTTATTAATAATTAATTTAAAATATTATATATATAAAAAATGAAAATATGAGCAAATCTTAAGTGACTCGTGTCAATCATTATCATTGATTTTTCCTCTATCCGGCAAAACAAAATATTTTTACGATTCCACTTGTGTGTTGTAAAGATAATAAAAATAAATCATTCATATTTAAAGATTATTGAGTGCAGCACAGTTTAGCTATAAAAGTGGCAAGCTTTAAGGCATAGCCCAAGTTGTGCAAGCGACATGAAGGTGTTCATTACAATTTTAGTTTTGGCTGTGGCCGCTGCCTCAGCGGCCCCCTCGGCGGGTATTGCTTATCCCAAGGATCTGGCCAAATCCTCGAAAATCGAGGGACGCATCACTAATGGCTATCCCGCATACGAGGGTAAGGCTCCCTACACGGTTGGCCTGGGCTTCAGCAGCAACGGCGGTGGCTGGTGGTGCGGTGGTTCTATCATTGGCAACACCTGGGTTCTGACTGCCGAGCACTGCTCTGGCAGCGCTGAGTCTGTGACCGTCTACTTTGGTGCCACCTGGCGCACAGACGCCCAGTACACCCACTGGGTTGGCCGCAACGACTTCATCAACCATCATGACTCTGACATCGCTCTGATCCGCATTCCCCATGTGGACTTCTGGAGCATGGTCAACAAGGTGGAGCTGCCCAGCTACAACGATCGCTACAATGACTACAATGAACGCTGGGCCGTTGCTTGCGGCTGGGGTGGCACCTACGATGGCAGCCCACTGCCCGACTGGCTGCAGTGCGCCGACCTGCAGATTATTCATAATTCCGAGTGTGCAAACTACTATGGCACGGGCCTGATCCAGGATAAGATTATCTGTGTGCGTGTTGTCGATGGCAAGGGTACATGCAGTGGTGACTCCGGTGGCCCATTGGTCACACACGACGGCAACAAACTGGTCGGTGTTACCAACTTTGTGGCTGCCGCTGGATGCCAATCTGGTGGACCTGCTGGTTTTGCGCGTGTCACCTACCACTTGGACTGGATTCGTGACCACACTGGCATTTCTTATTAAACAATTATTGAATAAAAAGCAAGCAAAGTTGATAACTCTTATTAAATGCTTATTCGGAGGGGACTTAAACTTAATGTTCAGGGTCTTTAATCTGTGATCTTTGGATGTGCTTAGTAAACAGATTAATCAGGTTTATTTAGGAATATTATTGATTTAGGTTCAATCTTAAGATGGCAAATAAGACGAACATACTTTATAAAATTAAATTACACACATGACAGATTATGTTCATTTTATGGGCATACTATTTGGGTTTTAGGGTAACGATATTCCTGTGATCACATTAGGTTTATATATTCTGAAGCATATTTTCACGCATATTGAGTTCGATTGAGCTATACCTGATCCGTCCAATCATTCATATATGTATATGTATGTATGAATGTGTGCGTCTCACCGACAATTAGAGCTTTTAATAACGCTCTTATCTTTTAGCTTTCGTACTTTTTGCCTGGTCTACACTAAACTACAATACATATATATATTTTGTTATTTATATATATATATATATATATATTTTGTTATTTATATATATATATATATATATATATATTTCAATTTTTAATGCCAGCTCGTCGCTGGGATAAGGGTATTTCCTAGTCGGGCGGCATTCTTACATGTTTTTTTTATCGCAATAAATTTACAGACAAGTACGGTTAAATGACTGGCAAAATCAAAAAACACTTGTTTGATTAGCAGAAGCAAGATATAGTATGGTATATAGACAGATAATAATTATTTATACCTTTGCTAATGGTACTAAAAATATAACAAGGCGCGTGGCACAAATTCCCATTAACTCGATCAGTATCAAAAGTCGAGGCGATATGTACATTCCAAATAATATCTCAGTCTTATCCCTCTACTAATACAAATTAGTGCTGTCATGTCCATTGTTATCTTACATAACCTGAAACAATTGTCCGAAAAAGCCTGACGAACTCGCGCTTTTGTGTACTATCAATAGAAAATAGATTATAATATACAAGAAACGATCACATCTTCGTACACATTTAGTTTAAATTAGATTTGGATCTTATAGAAGAGATAAATTAGGCTCTTATATATGGGAAGACACCATTCGCCCAGCTGTTTGAAAAGAATGAAAATATTTCCGATAGTTAAACAATAAGAGGATAAGGATGACAAAGGCACATGATCCTAAGAATCGGTTGGGTGCCATGTCTAGACCTATCGTAACGAAAAGATTCCAAACGATTTCTATTGAAATATTTGCAAAATATAAAGCAAACGAAATTTTATGTTTTTTTTGGTATAGCTCAGTTTATTTGGAGTATTTAGAAATATTCCGTAGAAAGTGCATTTAGTAGGAAACGCCGGAGTTGGTCTTGATCCAGTCCAAGTAGCTGGTCACACGGGTGAAGCCAGCTGGGAGGCCAGACTCGCAGCCAGAGCTGGACACAAACGAGGTGACACCAATAAGTCTGCCGGAGCTTTCGAGGACCAATGGGCCACCAGAATCACCGTTGCAGGTGGAAGACTGGTTGGGAGTGGCAATGCAGATAACCTTGGAGCTGGCGGTCAAAGAGCCATAGGTGGCCTGGCATGTGGCCACAGACACAACATCAAAGGTCTGGTACTGCAGGACGTTGGTTACACTGGTAGCGCTATCGGAGGTCTTGCCCCAGCCAGATGCAACAGCCTTCTCGCCGGCATAAGTGGAGTAGCTGCTGGCAATAGCTGGCAGCTGAATCTTGTTGATGTAGGAGGTGAAGGCGACAGTGGGTGTCTGGATCAACGAGATGTCGTTGGACAAAACAATAGAGTTGTAGCTGGTGTGCTGCTTGAAGTTGGAGCTGGAGACGGTCTGGGTAAGCTTAGCGTTGGTGCGCTGAAGAGCACCATAGTAGATGGTCACCGAGGAGGCACTGCAGACAAGGATATAAAACCGTTTAGCAATGGATTATGGCAAAGTCTTGGATGGGAACACTTACCCGCTGGTGCAGTGAGCGGCAGTCAGCACCCACTGGTTGTCAATGATGGAGCCACCGCACCACCAGCTGCCGCTAGAGCTGGAGAAGCTTAGTCCCACCTGGTAGGGGAACTGACCCTCCGTGGCGGTCTTGCCGTTGGTGATGCGTCCCTGAATCGAGGGCACGGCGGGCAAGTCACGAGGATGCACGGGTGCATTGTGCGGCATAACGCCAGCGGAGACGGTGGCAAAAGCCAGAGCAAGAACTACGAGTACTTTCATCTTGATCGTTGTTGAATGAACGAATGATTTCCTACTGATCACAGCTGTATTTTATAGTCAGTTCTAATCAGCTGTTATCTAGCCTTATCAAACGAAGCTTTTAAGATTGTATTTTAAGCAGGAGACATTAATGGGACATTCAGAACTGTGTCTGGATGCCTGCCGCCTTTATCTATTTCCCACTCAATACTAATGAATAATCAATACTCTTTAGTTTGAGAATTATTTAATTCAAATGGATTTTCTACCACTTGAACTTATCATATAATTTTAACCAGAAATTTTATTTTTTCATTCTATTTTTCGGGTGTCTAGAAAATACCCTGTACCAATTAGTTCTTACTTCTCTATATAAATACACTACGGACTATAAGGATAAATATGATATTTGGCATCACACATTCCTCTTTTCCGCCTGATACACACAGTTTCACAACGCAAATATGCCTTTATCTTTATGGGTACAGGGTAGACGAATTTTTTGCAAAACAAAATAAATCAAATTACGAAATTGATTAAATGATAATTGATTGTGCTTCTTAACATTGCTATTATTATTGTTTTTGGGGAATTTCACCAAAATCATATTTCGCTTTTGCTTAATTCAAGTGTCGGATATTCCCAGAGATTGGGCTCGGCCTTTAGAACATATTCCGCATACGCAACGTTGTCCCAAATGTTGCCAATTTATTCTAGAAAAAAATATGGGTTGGCGCTGGTCAGTTGAGCTTAGGAAAATTGAAATCAATTCGCTTTACGTGCTAAGCATGCAAACAAATTTTCAAAATTTCCTGCTTTCCCCAAAGCCTTGAAAAGAAGCATAACATATATGAAATATATATGTAGCTGTCTTAAAGCGCTTCTCTCTATAGGTTCATGACCTGTTACCCCCAATCTGCTTAAGTTTTCTTCTTTAGTAATTAGTGTTTCTGGGAACAGAATGTCGGCTGACTAAATCTTAACCGATTTAAGAAATCTTTACGATTCGGT